CCCTGGACCTAGGTTTGCCCTTGAAGGTCATTTATTTGCCTGGAGAAATGGCTTTTCTTCCTGTCCTGGGTCGGGCAGGTTTATTCTGCCACAGAGGTCCTTCTGCTCTCTCCCTGATGGTGCAGAGGTCTGGGTGGGGAAGACAGAACATTCAGAAGGAAGTTTAAATACAGAGAAAGTTCTCTTTGTTTTTGTTCACCGTCAGAGGGACGTTTCCAGAAGAAAGTGCCCTGGAAGGCCATGTTTGTTGTTGCAAAGTCTCCCCCTGCATGGGGTGCCACTCAAACCTGAGTGCCCCAGCTGTGCAGTCAGGGGCTCATTCATCAGCAGCTCTGTCTAGCGATGACAGTCAGGGCAGGACACAGGTGACCTCAAGAACTTCAGTCCCAAGCCTGGGATTTAAGAGGGAAGGTGTGGCTGTTCAGTTCTTCTGGTAGTTTTAACGTCCTCCTTTTTTGTCCCACAAAATATCCCAGAGCTCAGAGTGCATGGTGTTGGTGGGTACCCAGCCCAGGCATGTGGGTGTATGCAAGCCCTCATTGTTCACCTTTTTCTTCTCATTTGTTTGTTTGTTTGTTTATTCGTGATAGAGCTCATAGATGTGCACGTGAGAGAAAGGAGAGAGAGATGAGTACTGTCCCCAGGGTCTGGTCACACCACAGTCCTCTTCCTTCAGTCCTCTAACCTGTCAGATCTTGGGCAGGGGATCTACCCAACTGCTTAAGGCCAGCCAGGCCTGGGATTTGAACCATAGTCACCATATGAAATTCAGTCTCTCATGAGCAGTGCTTTACCTATGCTGGGGAGCCAGCCCTCTTCACCTTTTGCAAATTCTGCTCTATTTTATTTCTTCATCCAAACTATTCTAAGCCTTTCAGTTAAGGAGGTCCTGGGGTGGATTGTTCAGGTTCTCCCCTCAGCCCTCCTCTAGCCCTTTGGGTAGAAGTGGGCTGTGGGAGGGTACCCTGGGGACAGGTTGTGTGCAATCACCAACCCCTGGGTGGATGGCTATGCCACAATCCTTTCTCTTCCATTCTCCTCTTAGAATTTTGGCCACACATGCATATGAGCCAGATAGAACTTTCAAGCTGCCTGGTCCAGGACCTGAACTGTAAAGTCGGCCATGTGGAATCCAGTGCCTTAACATCCATGCCACCTGCTGGCCTGGCAAAATTCTAGCTTTAAAATATATATATATACTCTGTCACAATGGTGTAAGCAGGAAGGCGCCATGGTAAGGGAGACCCAGGTTCAGTTCCTGGCTAGGCTTAAGTAGGGCAGGTGCAGTGGCACAAGCCCGTGGTCCTTGCTGATGGGGAGGCTGGGGCAAGAGACCACAACATGTCGAGACCCTGTTATAACCGCTCCGTCCCACGTTCTCTCTCTTATTTAAAAAAGAAAAAAGGTGTTATTATTTTTTTTCTGTTTACAAAAGCATTTTGGATTCATATAGGAAACTTAGAGATACTGAAAACTCTCCTTAGATCTCCACCCCTCTACAAAATCAAAGTCATCCTTCCACTCGCTAAAACACTAGTATTCACCTTCCGGAGTATCTTATCATCCCTCCTCTCTCTCTATATATATTTTTTTCTTTTAAAAAAATGGTTATTTATATTTTCTTCCAAAAGTGAGAGTGTAGAGAGAGATTGAAAGAGACAGAGACTTCTAACATGGTCTTCACATCCAGCTCTACCTCCCACCTCAGCAAGCCCGGATCATGGACAAGAATGTGCCAAGGCAGGCCTCTAGAAGTGAACCCAGAACCTTCCCGTGTGGGTTAGCTTCACCCAGCATTGCATCATATCTAGACTTTATGCACCAATGTTAAAACCTTTTTATTTTGGAAGATTTTCAGATTTTTAGTATTTTCTTTATGATAGGGCACATGTGTGCAAATGTGAGAGTGACAAAAATGAGCAACATCTCCCCCTGCCCTGCAGGTCCGGTCATGCCTCAATCCCCTTCCTCCTCCTCCAGCCCAGTGGATCTTAGGCACCCAAGTGGACGCCTGGCTTGTTTCAGGCAGAACAGGCCTGGGATTTGAACTGTAGTTATCAGGCAAGATTGGCTTCTCCTGAGCAGCACAGTACCACTAGGCCATGGAGCCGGCCCTGGAATACTTGTAAATTCATGGAAAAGTTGCAAAGCTAGTGCTGAGTTCCTCCATGCCCTTCAGCTAGGTTTCCCTAATGTTGACATCACATGTCACCATAGCAGAATGACTGAAACTGAGAAGTGACACTGGTGGCGTCCTAGTAGATTCCACCAGTTTTCCCACTACGGCCTTTTTTCCGTTCTGCCATCCAGTTATAGTACATTCGTATATACATAACTTTTTGTTTTGCTTTGTTTTAGTTTGCTGTAGGGCATGTGCACTTGCTGGAGAAAGAGAGGGAGAGAAAAGGCGAGAAAACACCCCACGGGGGAATGGCCATGCCGCACTCTCCTCTCCTCCAGTCTCTTCTTGGGGTTCTGGCAAGAACACAAATGCTTCTGTTGGGTCTGAGACTCTAACACACAGTCGGCCATGTGGGATCCAGTCACCTTAACCACCACACCACCTGGCCGGCCCTTCTACAGAACTTTTAAAAAAATGTGTCTCCCACAAAATAGTGCACACTGTTTTGTAGCTGACTCTTCCCACTTGTTAATATATCTTAAATAGTTTCCCAGACGATCAAAATTTTCTGTCATCATTTTTAATGACAGTGTAGTGTTCCCTTGTCTGGATTTGCTTTAATTCCCTTGGCCAATGACTTTCCATTCTGCACATAAGTTTTTCTAATTTTTCACTAATATAAAGAATAATGAGATGTGGGGCCGGCAGATGGCATGGTGGTTAAGAGCACAGGACTCCCACATGGTCAGCTATGGTTCAAGTCCTGGATCTGGTGGCTTGCTTTCTCACTTTCCCTCTCTCTCTCTCTGTCTCTCTCTGGATCAAACTGGAAAGTAATAATAATAAATAAAGTTAAATAAAATAATTCTTTAAAAAAGAATAATGAGGTGGACATCTCTTCTAGCCCTGGATCCACATGTCTCTGACTGCTCTGTCACAAGAGAAATTCTGTTAATAGACATCTGTGTCCGGGGACCTATCCCTCCGCCTTTCAAATCCCCAGCCAGGATGTGGCCCTGCTGCTGGCCTTAAAGTTTAAAGAGACTGCTTCCCCTCATCCTAAGGCAAGCAGAGGAGGAGGCAGAGAACTTGAAGTGGAGTACAGCTGGAGACGACGAGAGGAGATGGGAGCAGAAAGGGATTCCAGGTCCTCCATCGCTCCTTGGCCTTCTTGGGGCCATCTAAGCCCAGCTCGGTCTCTCACCTCTGGAATGAAGAGGAAGATGCTCTGTGCTTAAGGAAGATGAGGAGGGGATGTGGGTGGGGGCTGGGGCAGAAGCTGCTAATGCATTTTGCCAGCATCTTTGGTTTCTCCAATATCCAGCCTGACTATTAGCAGTTCCCCAAGGATGGCCTTGCTCCTCACGTCATCCTTCATTTCCTATAAATGGGAAGCAGCGAGGGACTGGAGTGTGTCTGTGGTGGGGGAGGGGAAGGGAGGGAAGGAATAGGACCCACGTCCCATCTACAGTTTTCAGCTCTGGTTTTCTATACCTGACTTCGTGCAGCGCCGAGGTCCAGAGAAGGTATTTCCAAAACAAGAAGGCATTTAGGGAGTGATGTAGATAGACTTGCTCTAAGGCTGTGAAGTCGCTGGCCAGGTTAGAAGAAAGATGGCTGTCTCTGTCTCGTTTCTTTCCTTTTTTTAAAAATTTGCCAGAGGTGTATGTACTTGCCCGAGAGAGACAGAGACAGAGGAAGAGAGAGAAAACACTCCTTATAGAGGATGGTCAGGCTGCAACCCCTTCTTCATTTCTCCCTCCTCTTGGGTTCCTGGGCACATACACATGTGTCTGTCACAGTTTTCAAGCCACCTGGTCTGGGACTTGAACCACCCAGTCAGCAATGTGAGATCCAGCCGCTCCAACCACCACACCATATGGGCTGCCCTGTCTGTCTTGTTTCTAGAGCTTTGAGACTGTGTTTGTGTCTGTGGCTGGGGGATTGGTGGGGCGCTGGTAATTGGACTGAGGTCCCCTGATAATTGCCTCAGTTTTTTTTTTTTTTTTAACCTGAAAACTGTAACCGTTCTTGGGTTGTCCTAAGGGTTGAATGAATAAATACATGAAAAGTATTTAGAGGGGACCAGAAGATGGCATAATGGTTACATCGCTGGACCACATAGTCAATCACAGTTCGAGTCCCGAACCTGGCAGCTTAAAACTCATGCTGGGCATGTGTGTGTGCATGTCCAAAATCCCAAGAGGAGAAGGAATTGTGGCATGGCCATCCCCCCGGGGGGTGATTTCTCACTTTCTGTCTCTCTGTGTCTCTCTGGTGAGTACATGTGCTCTATAGCAAAAAAATCTCTCTAGAACTTTTTTAAAAAAATAAGAAAAGCATTTAGAACAGTGCCCGGCATAATAGGTGATAGTTCATTATTGTTACACCAGGCTACATCAGCAGAAAAGGTGGAGTGGGAGATTTTCTAAGCAGGGGCCCTACAGCACCCCGCCTGGGTGGGGACCAGAGAATGTGTCTAACCTGGTTTGGTAAGGAAGGATCACTTCGGCTGGGCAGAAGTGGCCTGACACTCACACAGCTGACCAAGTCACTGGGTGGGGTCCAAGATCTCACACCGGCTGTGTGCTCACTTTCCTTCCTCTTCCCTGTATCACAAGGCACGGGGCACACAGGTCCCTGACATGGTGGT